CCACTTGGGATAATACCTGGGTGAGGAGGGACTCAAGATATGACCACACTTCAGAATCTTTCTGCTTTTGTGCAGACAAGAGGAAATGAAAAAAAAGAGAGGACAGGAGAAACAAGGACAGCTCTGGCTGGGGGTTGGCTTTTCTAATGCTGTTGCAAACTGGAAAGGACTACAGAACTAGTGTGAGCTCTTCACCCATTCTGAGCCCTGACAAACTTAAAATAACTTAAGTACTTATCTGCCTGTGTGCTCAGAGACTTATATTTATCAAGATGGTTAGATTTAATTGTAAGAACTTAAAACCAGTAAAGGAAGAAGACCTGAAGGCCACAGCTCCTTACATTTGGTACTTCAAGGTCACTAAGACTGTCAGGTCCTGTGAAGGTGGTGATGGCACAAGGGTTGACTCAGTCCAGCTGGTCAAACTCTCCCTTGCAGATGGAGTGGACAAAGGCTCAGTGGTGGTAAATGATGAGGGTGAGACCAGTGCCAGGGGAATGTTTCCTTTGGTTAAGTTTTTGTGCTAGCATAAAAATTTCCTATTTCAGTGTTTTTGGTTTTTTTAATCCCAGATGAGTAATAGGCAGAATTCATCAGCCCTCTTACTCATTTCATCCAGACAGCCCTTAGATTCCCTCTGCACCATTTTTGGTCCAATAACCTCCCCTTGTATTGCTTTCTATCTGCTACATATGCCAATACCACACTTGACCTTTTTCAGGGCTAATTCAGGAAGTTTTGTTGACTTCTGTAAATGCTGTCTTGGAACAGATTCAATAAGTCATAGTTCCTAAATGAGTGACAGCACAGAAGAGCTGAAGTTTAGCACAAGGTAGTAAGGAATGGCACAGGGAGTTTCTCTTTCTTGCCAGAACAGCTGGAGTGTTGGGCTCCTGCTTTTTGGGGATGAGGAAGGGAGCAAAGCAACTGGTTTGGCACTAGTTAAAGATTTTAGCTAAAACACACTCTTCTTGTGAAGTTACTGCAATGAACTGGTATTTGTTCAGGAAAATATCCAGTCAGAGTATCCTGGTCCATATCTAGTTCAGCCATTCTTTTCAGAAATGTACAGGTACAAGTACATTTGTACTTACACAGGTGAGAACATGCTCCTGTATTGCTGCACTTCTGCTTCTGCACATGGACTTTCCATTCCTGAGGCAGCTGCAAATGCCAGCTTTTCCTGCTTAAAAAAAAGATTATTATTACTGCATCTCATCAAATGAAGATTTTAGTGCACCTAAAATATGGAACACTAAAAACAGATTAACACAACAGATAACCAATGTCTGAGCAAGCCTTCCTATCCATTACTGATGGAAGCTATTAGGACCAACCTGGATGAAAGACAAAGTCATAATTAACTTGACATTAACAGCACATTGCTGCAATACCAATAACGTTACTCAGAAGAATCTTAAGATTTTGAATATACCTTCCTGCAGATGCTATTAAAAACAGATCCAGACTGAGATAAATCAGAAATTGCAATAAAGACTGTCTGTACCTCTCTTACTGACAGAGGAATTCCCTCTAGTTTTTGATCTCAGTCTCTTGCACAGAGTTTCAGCTCATAGTTGCTTTTATGACAAATAAAACAAGCAAGCAGATATGGCCAGAGAGGTGAGAGTGTGCAGCTTTTTAGAGAGCTACATCTTAAATTACAGGATGATTATGAGAACACTTATTTTATTATCTATTACATGAGCTGTATCTTCTAGTAATGAATAAAACTATCAACACTCATTATAAATGCCAGAAGGTTTTTATAATGAAATATATTCTTTTCTTTCTTGATGCTATATGACACCACCCATCTCTAAAACCCACAAGACAGAGAAACTACCGGAGCAGTTCTGTACCAGTTAATATTTCTGAACAGCCCTCCATGTGAATAAAGATGCAACATGCAGTGCACAGTTTAATTAGTTTATTTTTTAAAATTCTGTCAGAAATAAAGGTGTGCATTAATTACAAAATATATTAAACTAGAAATCAATTCATCCAGGGGAACAGGAGTACTTTCATTTTGTTCAAATGCAAACCAATACAAACCTTTAACATTGACACAGAATAATCTTTTGTATCCCTCATCAATGTATCTGGTCTGCTGCCATCTCTAAACAACAACAGAAAGGTTGCCCTGATTTGATTTCATTAACAAGTTTAATCCCTTGATAGCAAACATGACCAGACACATCATAAGACTGCCTAAAAAACAACTCTATACATCTCACATTATCTGAGCTCCCACATATACATTACATACCAACATTTCTAACAAAATAATTTTCCCTGCCCTGCAGGGGAAGACATTCAGAGGCAAAGAGATAACACGTTCATAATATATTATAATTGGAAAATTTGTGCCATAGCAGCTTTGCAAATACACGTAGTAAGAGTTGGTGACTTAAACCATGTTAAAGACAACAGAAATTTGGAAGATAAAAGAAGCTAAGCCACTTTTTTAAACCACCTTGAGATCTAGTCATGCTGCAAAGCATTCATTTACAGAATGAAACCCCACTGCTGAACAAGTTACACAGGACATGGGTTCATCAAGTATTTCTTTGATTGAGAGACAACTCAATGCTGCAGACCTTTCTCCTTCCATTTAAATAGTTCTAGCAATTATACCTCAGTCCACCACAGAAAAACAAATTCTCAAAAGAAGATTTGAAGAAAGGGGAAAGAGGAGAATGGAACAAGTATATGAATAAATATTTCATAAACATTTATAATATTTTTATGACAGTAAGATTTAACTGATACTTAGAAAATTATCTCTGACAGTCTCCCGTGTAATACTCTGATATTACAGTAATTTGTCATCACTCAGAGTTCTAGTTGGTAGTATAAAAATATAAAACCAATAGAATAGCAGCAGTCAATAAAGAATCCATATTACTGTGGCCAGTACAGAATTATACATGCAGTAGCCTTCTATTCCCTATTGGCTTATGCTATTGTACAACTTTAACCTGAATCATTTAAATCCTGCCACCACAGGGAGTTTCCTCCTCAGAGGCAGAAGTACATCAGATCTAGCAGATAAGGCTCGAAGCAAAAATTCATTCAAACTCAAATCTTCAAAAGCAAAGAAAGTGTTAATGCATTTAGTGGGCCTTGGGTATAAATGATTTGAACAGAGAATAAGGACATTTTTCTTATTTCTAGGGTAGAGGAAGGACCTGGAGTAGGAAGAAGCTCTCAAAGTACGAGTGTTTGTTCTGCCTCCCCCTCCCTTCCCTCCTGCCCCCCCAAAAACAAGAAGAGAAACAAAAGAGAATGGCAGCTTTAGAGCATCTTGAAAAAACACGGATAGGTAGCACAGCCTGAAAATGGAGAACCTGTGTACAGTGCCTTCTGTGCAGAGTGGCTCTGTGCACTGCCATGGACATTGACAGCTCTTGGTTAAGAATGGCTTTACTGGGAGTGCTCCAACTGAAGACACTCCAGAACAATTCAGCTGATAGGATGAGGCTGTTCATTATAAAATCTACTTTGGTTTTAAACCTGAGATCTTTCTCTGTTTTGAGTAACATATGCTTACCTGTCCCCTAATGACAGAGAATTAACTAAGTCACCAACAACTAACTGCAATTACCATTAGCCAGGAAATTCATGTTTCAGTAGTGACAATACTCCATTGAACACAATCCCTCTTCCATCTAATACGTTCTACTAGCAGAAGAAATTTTACTCATCTGGATTTGATGAACAAAGTGGTAGGTTGGGTCCTGGAACTTTTACCTCTCATGCAGGCAGGCAGAGTATCCTCCCAAACCACTGAAGTATAGTAGTCTCTCTTTAGTCTTTTATATTAAGCAATGCACCCTTTCCCCACTGGTATTGCTTTGATGATGCCAAATAGTTGGAACACTCTTAAGTATCTCTTAAGCTGCAGTGTCTCCAGCCTTTAGGTTGTTCCACTAACTTGGATAAATAATACACATAAGCTCATGCATCTTTAGTTCTTTCTTCAGTATCTGGATATGTACTTAGGTTATGGGGTAAACAAAACTTTTTTCTTCCCTCCTTTTAAAGACAAGATTCAGGACTTTATCAGCACCATGAAAGTTAAAATTTTTAGCACCAGTGAACTTGAATTACTCAGCTTTGACTGGTCAAAACTAACATTTACATGGCATATAATCAGCACAGAAAACAATAATACACACAGCATTAGGAACCTCTTTGACAGTGAATCTAGTGTTTGATAAATAAGTAACTATGAAAGCCAGATTTTCTTCCTAAAAGCAAAGAGGATTATAATTTTTCCTCACACTGCTGAATTAACAGGCTTTCCTTACCATCCAATTGCTGAGTTGGCCCAGCTCCTATTGTCTAAAGGGACAGGAGATACCCACAGCAGTTGGATGCTGATATGGCCAGCTGCCCACAGAGAATTCACAGGGGATGACTTGGGTACATCACCCACAACACCAAGAGATCACTTAAACAGATGCAGGTCACAAGTTCAGCTTTGGTACAAATTCAGGTTTTGACAGTGAAACAAATTCTGCATCACCCTCTCTGTTCAGTACATCCCTTTGCTCATGTGTGCACTCACAACCTGAAACACGTCCAGCACTAGGAGATCCCACCAGCACAAAGGGATTTCATTCAAATGCTAAACTTTCATATCTCTTGATGATTGTGGTTGACATTCTGGGTCTAGAGCAAACACTTCTAGAAAGATTTATCAAAATAAAGAGAATTAGGGAGGCACCTTCAGACCACATTACAAATATTTCTTCAGTGAACTCAGCTCAGAGTCATTTAGCCTTCTCCACAACACTACTTCATATCTTTTGGAAATATCAACATCAACTCTGCATCAACATGCAACTTCCTGAAGGAGGAAAGGGTCAAAGCATCCCTGAACCCTTGGTGACATGAACAAAGTCTTAACCCTACCTTCAAACTTCAGGAGACACATAGCCAATTCAAAATTCTAGATAAGTCAATATAAAAACTTGCTCAACTTTCCCAAACAAAACAAAACAAAACGAAAAAATCCCTCATCTTTAATAATTTTGTTCCTTCCTTGCAACAGCATCTATTCCAAGGCACTGAGGTGAAAAGACTTACAGGTCTATTCGATATGACTAAAGTTTTACCAAGCTGAGATGCACAGGTTCTGCAATAGGATTTTCCTGTAGGCAGTTAAGTTTTGATTAACACTTCATTTATTTAGCTTGCTACAGAAGTAGCTTATTATTTTAAGAGAGAACCGTACCAAATATTTAAACGTATGAGCCCATATAGAGAAAAATACACCAGCAACAACAAAGTTCCACTGGCAACTATGATCTTGTACAAACCCAGCCTTTGTGGACAGTGAAGCTCTTTAGTGATCCATGTGGACAAACACGAGCAAGGCTCCGTTGCCGTGGTTAAGCCTTGCAGGCTACATGGCCCCGTCAGTGGTGCGGGCCTGGAAGCCTTCCCTGCGGACACTGCTCAAGTCCAGGCGCGTGAGCACCTCGCAGCGCACCAGCACCGTGTCGTCCTTGATGAAGCTTCTCTGCTTCAAGGTCTCCAGGTGCATGAAAGTCACATAACCAAAACCTTTCGGATTGCGGTGGATTGTCGGTCTCTGGAAGGCCAGTAGCTCTGGCTTGGTTTCCATCACCTCTTCGTGGTTCTGCCTTTCTGGGCCTTCTGATTGATCCAAAATAGAAAGTCGGATGGTGCCTTGGAAAGGCCAGGGCAGGTGGCTGTCATATTCTCCTTGCATAGTGTGCACAAACAGAGAGATATAATTAGCACAGCGCTGAGCAGTCGGTAACTGGATATGCAGGCGCAAGCACAGCTTGTAGCCAGGCTTCCCTGTATAGAAGCCAGGACTGTGCAGCACTACAGGTCTCTCTTCTTCCTGAGCTTTCTGATGTTCACTGAAGTTCTCAATCTTCCAGATATAAATACCATTACATTGTTGTGCCTCCATTTCGGTAATCTTTCCCTCCAAATTTCGTATAGTGCGTTTGAGTTCCGCCACGTGAGTGTTCTGAGTCTCCATTTTAGCAATGAGTTCCCTGATTTGGTGATCTTGTCTCACCAGACGACCTTCCAACTGCTGAATAGTTTCCTTGAAGTTTTCAACTTCTGGATTGCAGTTGTATGCAGCATGTGACATGTGTGAGAAGAGGGGCTCAAAGGGTAGGCCATTGATGAAGGGCACGGGATTTGCAGCAGTAACACTGATATTCTGAAAGCTCTGAGCCATCATCCTCATGTGAACCTGAGTGAACTCCTGCATATGCCGTGCCAGTTCATTCCTTTGCATCTAGGATTTAAGAGATGCAGCATTAGGAACACATCAAACATCTACAATCACATTATTAGGAAAAATGGAAAAAGAAGTTCAAATACCAGTGGGCAAATCACAGAATCATTTAGGTTGGAAAAGACCTTTAAGGTCTTTGTGTCTTTGGCTTGATGCTGATACAGCTGGGGTTCAAAAAACCATAGATATGAGGTGGTTTCAGCATAAAATTGTAAACCTGGGAAGTTAAGATAGAACTGACATAAATGACTGCAATATAAATCACATATGTGCATTTTTGGTTTTGTTGGCATGGGACTTTGGGATGTCACAAACATATTCTTTTAGAATAATTATCATTAGTAATAGCATATTGTATAGTTGCATAATTCTAGGTAATGCTTAATAAGGGAATCTTTGATTGTATTTTTTGCAGAAGCTGCAGCATCTCCAGGAAAACAACAAAATTTAAATTCTCTGGAAAAGACTGAGAACAACTTCTTATTAAAAGCCAACATCCACACTTCAAATGGAGGCAATTTTGAGTAAAAACATGAAGCCTTTCAGTATTACATACAGTGAAAAATAGGAACAGTATATATCAAACTGTGCACCTGAAAGTAAAAGCAAGATATGAAGAAATATGGAATATTTTATACTGAAAATATTCTTATCAAATATTCCAAAGGCAAGCGCTGTGTATTCAGGGTCACCTTCTTGTTAGTGAGCATTCATGACAAAAAAATTCAGGTTTTGTGAAAATGATAATAACCCTATGAATCCATCATTAATTATGGTGTACACTTTCAGTAACACTGTTCAACTCCAAACAAACACATGCTGAAATACTGTTAGCCACAAATATACTTAGAATTTTTCTGTGTTCTAAATTTGCTAAAATGTTCCATGGTACCAAATGGTGTATTAAAACTGCTGTGGAAATGAAGGGAAAGACCAAATTTTACCAAGAGGTATTAAAAACTAGAAATAAAAGTATTTAGAGTAATAATTTTAGAATTTAATAAAATTGATTTTCTTTATGGAACTCCAGGAGTCATAAGCGTATTTAGCCATATCTTTGAAAGAAATGCTAGAAGCTACTTTTTGACATGAAAGCTGAGAAAACATGAAATAATAAAAGCAAGGTCATCAAGCAAATTGTTCACAGAGCTTTTTAAATTTGAAAAAGCAATTTTGAAATGCAATGTATCAACGTGCACTGCTTTAGAATTAAGATACCTCTGAACAAAAAACCCAAAACCACAAATCACTGAGGATTTTGGGTTGGTGAATGAGACTAGACTAGGAAAACACATTACAAAAGTGACAGACAAAATCATGCAGAAAGTCTGCAATTCAGAAGGTAGTGATAAAAGTCTTACCTTTTCAGGACACCCAAAGGCACTGTAAAAACATGGCACTGGGGCAGTAGGACAATCATTGTTATAATGGTTAGGCATCTAAAACAAATGAGATTTGATATTACTTCTCCATCAAGAGTATTTTCTTATCCAGAAAGGATACAGCTGGATGGATTTTAAACAGAAAAGTTCAAAATGTACCCGAAGTCAGATCAGTTTATACCTACGTAAGTTCTTAAGGGAATATGGAAGTTTTGAACAGAAATGTTAGCTGATGATAGAAATTATACATTCCACTTGTATGTACTGTAACAATTCATTGACTTTGTTCCTATATTAGGCCTCAGAAAGCATTCAGGTTTCCTTGCTAGACCAAACACTTTTTGTTTCTAGCCTGTCCTCCAGCCAGGTCACATTCAATTCCTTCCCTTCTGAAGGACTACTTTCACAATGCTTATTGTGTCACTCTTTATTATCATCCTCAAAAAGTTCAAGTTTCTTCCATTTTTTTTGTGGTCCATTTTTTCCAGATCTAGATCAGTCATCTCACTGCTCTGGAGCCTGCCTATCCACCCTCTCTCAAAAGGACAACAACTTCAGCTGATGCCTTATGAGCCCTAAACAGAGCAAAGGATAATTCAGTGTTTCACAGGCAGAATCCCTGTTTATATAACCCTGGGTGTTTGCCTTGTTTAAATGTCACGATGAAGCACAAGGCTAATAAAGACCAGCTATTATTACAAATGTTTAACATTCTTTGTTCCCCACTTCTGCAATTCATTATTCTACCTAACAACAGACTTTTTCCTTTGTCATTACTAAGCTCAATCCTGTTTCTCAGAGCATTTTGCAATTTTACAAGATCATTATTTTAACCCAGGCCATCAACATAATTGCCATCCGAAATTAAACAAATCAATATTTATCATTTTTCTGCCAATGAAGTTGTTATTGAACAGAAGAAATAATAATGGTTATTACAGCAGTAATGGACAAATAGTAATGGACAAGCAGCATCTCAGTTTGGTAGTGAATTTACTTATAGCTACTTTCCAATAGTGGCTTTCCAAGTACAAAAACTCCCTCTCTCTGCCCAAATCAAAGCCTTTTCTTGTAATGTCAGCTATAACCACTGGCAGCTGATGGTATTTTTTCAACTCCATCCAAGATTAAAGATGTGCAGCATGCCCCCTGTCAAAAAGCAGTACAGCTGAACAATGTGATGTGCAGCCAAAATCCTACAGAGGTTTGCCAGACTGAAACTGCAAGCTGGAGCAGCATTTAAGGGACTATCACACCTGCACTGGACATTTTCAAAGAGGCAGATAGTGATTTAGCAGCTAGTAGACAAACTGTATCTCCACGTTTAATTTCAGATTAAGGAAGCAATGTAAAAACAAAGCATCTGAGTTGGAACAAACAGAGAAAAAGGAGTTTCTTACCTGCTCCCTGATGAGCACTGTGTTGCAATATTCACAATATATATTGGCAAGTGGACAGGTTTGGTCATGAAGCTTAAGTGATCAAACAGAAAAAAGAAAGGGGAGAAAACATCAGTAAAGTTGCCCAATTTAAGTGAGGGCTAATCACCCTTGATCAGACATTAGATTTTTTATCTATATACCTAATTTTGCATTTAGCTATATGCAACTGTGAAACAAAGAGAATCCCTTTACCCTAAACAGTATGTTTTACATTACTGCTTTATCCTGGACTTATACAAGAGATTCATGAAGTTGCAGATATTTTATTTCCTAAAGCTCTTATGCTTCAAAGAAATCTGATTTTAACCATAAGTTTCTAAAATTCATGTTCAATTGTACTGAAACTATATGAAAGCACTTGTTTGTTTTTTAATTGTATTGCTGGACTATATGAGGTACATTTGATTGACAATTCACAATATTAATATCCAAGAACATCAATAGTCCTTGAGATAAAACACATCCATATAGAAATAAATAAATGGTAACAGCAAAAGGAAAGTATTATCCTCAGTATCACCCAAGTGAAAAATGCATAGCCAGAAGAATTATTCAGAAATTATCTTGGTCTTGTACGGTAGCAGATATCCATAAAATAGTTATCTCCTGGTACATCCTCTCTCCCAGGCATAAAAACTGCACATGTAAATACTGCTTTTTGTGTTCCATGGGCAGGAGATACAGCCTGTCTGATGTAAGGTCAGAAATCAGTGGTTCTTACACAAGTCCACAGGTCTCCTCACACCACATGGCTCCACATAAGTTTGTACTTAAGGACAATCTCTCCCCAGCTTTTGCCTGTTCTAGGCTCATGTCCCGAGTTTGCAGCTTCTCAGCTGTGCAGCAGCACAAAGAGCTCTTCTAGACCAAAACCCTTCAGTTGTTTTTTTTTTTTTGTTTTTTTTTTTTGTTTTGTTTTTTTAAACTGCTGTTCCCTTTCCAAGCAAACCCATGTGAATGCAGGCTGACAAACTGAGACTCCTGCTAAATACCTCTTTATCTTCATAGGCCATGGACGTGGCACAGTTTGGGCAACACACTTGACGCCTCGGACACTCTTGGGTCATGTGCTCCTTCAGTCGGTTCTTCGGGAAGGTTCCTTGGCACTGCAGGCATTCCACAGTGGAAAAATCACACTGCAGCTGGTGCTCCTGCAGCAGGGCAGAAGAGGGATCTGATACTTCAAATCAGAACAATCATCCATTTTCAAGAGAAAGCACAGTGCAAGACAAATGAATCACAATCTTCCCTTCATGCAAGGAAATCCTTATACATTTAGGCTGACTCTACCAACAGCCTGTTACTGTCCCACTACTAAAGTCAAGGCTTCATGCATTCAGATCTTTAAGAAGATAGTAAAAATTTAGTTTTATATTTATCCTTTTAATGGCATATATTATTTTCCAAAATAGTTATTTCAAGTATTGTATGTAGCTACTTTGAGAGACTATTAAATAGCCTCTCAAAGTAGCTACCTATATTAGTTGAATATAATAAACTTGTGTGAAGCATGGACATAGTTGATCAAAAGACAAACATGAATGATCCTCAGCAGAAGGCTGCATTAGTACAATTGTCATGCACTGTGATGTTCACTTGAGAATCACCTAACTACAATTAAATACTCATTAAAAAACAATACGTGTAGTTATAATCTTGAAAGAAAAATGCATGGAATCTGCATAAATGAGTACCAGATATCTATTTAAGTAACTTCAAATTTTTACTTGTCCATGAAAGCAAGGTTCCATATTTTCAAAATGACTTCTCACCTCTAAGTGCCTGAGCTCCATCTTCATGCTGCAGCCCTTGTTGGGACATTTGACTGTTAATGAAAGGATTTCCCGTTTGGCGAAGTTGTCAGGAAAGAGTTGATTTTCAAGCAGAATTTCATTGTCCACAGGACATTTGTGACCTGCATCTCTACAATGCAGAAGAGCAAGGAAAGATATTCCAATATTACCAACAGATTTCCAAGCACTTAATTTAAAAGATACCAGCAAGACATTAATGGCCAAATAATAACACAGCAAGAACTTTAAAAACAATGGTATTTATGTGGCAATGACCAGAAAATATGATATGAATTTCAGAAAAATTGGAAACACAGTTTCACTGGAGGTGGCATGACTGGGGTTGTAGCACTTTTCAAACTCAAACACATTTTATTTACACAAATGGCATGTTAAGTACTCTCGAAACAAACTTGAGGAATATGTAAAGACACTAAGAACTTACAGTCCTGTTTCTGCAAGTACTTCACATAGCTCAAATATCAAAGAATATTTCACATACTACTTCAAAACAATTACTGAAACTTTCTTAGACCTCCTCTCATTTGTTTCTCATTTTATAAACAGCCAAGGTGATCACAGCTAAGAAAAAAAGCAAAATGGTCTTTTTTTCCAGACTGACTTCATCTGTTTGGCATTACATTACACACGGCTCAGTTTGTTGGTTTTGTTTTACAACCATTTGATCAGTTGGCCATCCGTCAATTTCATTATACAGGAAACAGGGTGAACACCTCCAGACACAAAAATTATTAGTAACTATGAAAATTACGCTGGACTTGGAATTGAGTGTTGCATCTGAAGCCATTTTAACAGCAAACAGACTGGAAATCAGTGCTAACTGGTGAAGGTTTGGAATCTGACAGAACATGGATGCCTGCAACCTGCACAAGGTAACTAACAGCCTGTTCCAGTTCATCAGGTTCTGCCCACCTGCATGTACATAGAAAAATCATTAGAAATAGAGTAAAAAAGGGAATCATCTCCATCAAACTTTCCAGTATCACCTCATTCTGAAAAAGGGGATCCCCTCCTTCAAACTTTCCAGTATCAGCTCATTCTGAAAGCAGTAGGCTAACATATTGATTCACAATTAAGTAATGCAGTTAAAGAGGCATGAGGGATCAAAGCTCCTGAGTGCTAATGGAAACACCAATAAAATGGAAAAATACATGGGGTGGAAAAATGTCAGAGAGCACTTGTGGTGCAAGGATCAAAGGCCAGATCATTGTCACTGCCTGCAAGCACAAGGGGAAGTAGAACCTAGTGGGCTATGGAGACCAGGAAGGAATTTATGTTCTTTGCTGGAAAAGGAAATAATTGCTCAGCAACTACATCAGCAACACTGCTAGGGGAAGTGGAGGTAAAGTTGCCACTTCAAAAAGAGGTAATGAACTTCCTTTCACAATTTTGCTTGCAGAGCAAGCTCACCACATGCCTGAGAAACATACTCCTAAACAAGCAGAAGAAAGAAAACAGCTAGCTTGCCTTGTTTCAGAGCTCCCTGAGCTATGACCAGTGTGATCTTTGTCACACGCTAGAAATGTTCCCTCACTTCACAACAGGAAATCAGTTTTCACAGGTATAGCTTGGTTACAAACACCCTGTTTAGTGGAGTATGAATACAGCTCAATAGGCCTGCTGATAAGACAGCAGCTTTATTTCTACAAAGAAAAGTTAATCATAAATAAGAGCAGCCAACAACAGATTAAAATGGAATAATGATTACCAAATCCCCAGTTTAAATAACGAGCAGATAAAGGGAAAAATACGAATGAAATGCAATTTTCCAAAATAGGAAAGTGTAGTAAGGAAAAAGCAGTAACTCATTTTAGGATATTAAACAGGCTTCAAATACTATTTACAAGGCTCAGATTTGTGTTTAAAACACTGCTAAGATCCATCTACAAAGATGTTGCTATATATTTCCTGTGACAGGATTGAGTTTATGCACCTCAGTTCTAGCTTACATTACAGTGAAGGCTTTCCTATGCTGGAATTATTTATCACAGTGCACTCTGCCACTCACAACAGTACCTGTGAAACAACAGCCATCTGCTACAAAGTACAATGAATATTCCTGTAAATTCCCTTGAGATTAAAATACAGGTATCAAGAGTAAAGCCAGAATAATTTTGAAACAAAAGCCTGCTCTGTGATTTCAACAAGTGAGTGGTTTAGCTGAGAAGCTGAGACAGTTGGCAGAGACTTTAACTGCAGCCATGCCAGCTGCTGGATGAACTGCCAGCACCCAAAGATGTCCCTGCTGCCCCTTGCTACCTCACAACTCTGCTTTTCCAATAAACAAAGGTTCTGATATTTGGCAAGCTCTACTACACACCCTAAGTCAGCTTTGCCCTAAGATACAGGAGAAGACTGGAGTGAAATTGAATTAGCTACTGCACCTGCAGTTAGTTCTTCTAAAATTTCCAGCAATATATTTTGTTGACAAGTAACATTCGTAAACACATTTGTAGTTACTTAGGTAGATAACCTTCTCCTCTTCCATGAATTATAGTACTTCAAAGCACTTCAGACAGCTTTATTTAAAAAGTTGCCAAGATTACCAAGATTTTCTGGGAGGCAAACATTTACTGTGATCAAATCTCATCTAATCATGTCCTTCACACTGTAAGATCGAAGAGTCCAGTCTTTAAAAGGTTTTCCAATTATTTTTTTCTAGTTGCAGCCACAACTTCTTCAACACAAACAACTACAATTGTTTGTGTAAGTCACAAGAAGCAATTACTCAAAAATGCTTGTCCATCCTTCATCATTTAAAATCCGTAACCTCTGTGTTCACTTGAGTTAAGACAGTGGGGAAATGAAGAATAAAGAGAAGCAATTTTTCCTGTCAAATGAAGGCTGTGACAATCACTCAGTGAAAAAAAAAGCAGTACTTAGAGAATGTAAAATATCTCTTTCTGTTTTCATTTTAGTTGTGTGGAAGCTTCTCAATACCTCAATCAATATGGTACTGTAGACAGTACAAACTGCAAATCAATACCACACTGCAGACACTACATAATCCAAATCAATAGCTTGATCTATGGATACCAATTAAGCATGCAGTTCAGCCCTTCAGGGATTCAGAGAGGTCTGGCACTTCAAGCAGTCCTCCCTGCTTTCAGAAACAGTCACTCAAATTGTCCTCCAAAGACAGAGTTCAGTGGGGAATGAGGGAAAACTTTTACTAGCAATGAAACATCTGAAATATTACACTGGTGGTCTACAGTCTCAAGAGCAAAAAATGCACTCTGCCACTCACAACAGTACCTGTGAAACAACAGCCTTGTTTAGTAGTCACTGAAACAGTCATCACTATTCATAGAAATTAAGTAAAATACAGAAAAGGTATAAAAGAAGCAGAAACTTCTGGTCATGGTCCTTTCCATGGAGAAATTCTTCCAGAGAATTTATGTAGCAGAAACTACAGAGAAGCCACAAAACTGTATTCAGAGAACATAACTCCTGGCATACTATTCATTTAGTGAGCTACAAATGATGGATAGGGAATAAAAATAAATGGAATACAACTATGGACAAATGGTATTAAAGATCAATCAAGAAAGCACTGTCCATTTTGCATGCTATAAGATAAATGCCAGGGAAAAACAGTAACACTGGAGACAGTTTAATGATCTTTACAAAAAGTGTGCAAAGTAAGGTTGAAATGAGCCAGTTCTACATATGGGTCACACAGAATATATAAATTCCTACCAAAGTGACATTTGAGCTATCTGAGCAATTGCTGAGAAAAAACTTTGGCTTATGCTGAAAAGGAAAAATCCTACAGCATAATATCTATCAATGTAATCCAATACTCACTCACATGTGTGGGACACTGATGACTTCACTCCAGGTTTAAGGCAAGTGCTCTCTAGAAGGTACTCTCTGCCCTTTCTTGCCTTTTCAATCATCTGTTTTTATAAGCCTAGTCTGCTCTTCCTTTGTTTCATATTCCCGGTCCCTCATATGCCACCTGGATTCCTCTCTCAGTGCTTTGTTCACAACTATTCCCTCATCACATTCTCTCTTCCAGCTCAAGAGGGAAGCAGCTAATTTCAAGAGAAGAACTAAAAGCATGAATTGCCTTATCTGCACAAAGAAATCAGGTTATCTGTAGTTTCCTGCAGTTATCAAGGGAAACAATCATAGGCAAAAGACAGGTAATTTTATAATCCTGAGCTGGAGATGGAATTTATTTGGGGGACTTGTCTACCTTTCATTTTTTAATTATTATTTGAAGTTTAATCAATTTTTTAGATTCATAACCTGGGCAAATTTGTGAAAACGGCATACCATCTAAAGCTCATAAAACTTCCAAACTTGGGACATTCTGGCCATATATAGCACTTTTAATGAATAATAAATTTCCAGAGTTCTATTAGCACTCACTGGTAATGCATCTTGGGCAGCTCTATTCGGTTTAGATTGACCTTAAACTGCTCTGCTACATTAATTTCTTCTTAAAAACAGCTTCCACAAGTTTTCCTTTACCTGATGGATTTGACAATGCACGCTTTGCAGAAACGGTGGCCACACGGCGTCTGCACCGCTTCCCGCAGAGCCATCAAGCAGATGGGGCACTCGTATTTGCTTTCCAGGGGCGGGTCGAACTCCACGTCGTAGCCCTGCGTCTCGTCGGAGAAGGAGGCGGGCGCGCTGCCGGCGCTGCTGCCGGCGCTGCAGCTCTCCTCCTTGGCGGCGGCGCTGCAGGCGCTGGCCATGGCGGCGCAGCAGCCGCTCTCCGCCTCACGGGCCCCGCAGCTGCCCTCGCTGTGCAGCAAGCTCATGGCACGGCGCGCACCTGCAGCGGGACACAAGGATGCGTCGGTTTCGAGTATTTCAAACCCTGCCTCCCTGGCGACAGCGACATTTATTTCCAACCAGAAATACTGGAACACATTGGGTTCTATTCAAAATCACTGCCTTTGTTTTGTCGCTATTATCTTTTTTTGCCTGTCCTCTGATATGTGGGGAAGGACACTGCATCCTGTCAGGGTAGTTCAAACACCTCCCCCCTCCTCCCCCCCCCATGCCTTTCTGTAATCTCTTTCATACGACTATCTGATTTCTGTAAAAAGAGGAATCATCCCTCTTTGTCCTTGCGATGTCTACTGAAGATGTTTCTTTATCCTTTCCATACTATTTACTTCTAACACATTCAAATAGATTTTGTGTGGGAAAAATGCCATACAGAATTATGTTTTCTTGGAGGACAACAGCTCAATTCCATAATCTCCTTGCAGTGTATATATGTTATTTAGCATTTTCTCTATCAAGCAATTCACAATATAGATTTCAAACTGACTTAGCTGCAAGAACACAAATAAAATATAAGTCCAAGTACCTAAACCAAGCAGCTGATGTGCTGTAAATGAAATTCAAATATACAGCATTGTTGATAACACTTTAGAAGTGCCAGTAGGACTTTAAATTGAGCAAGAAGCTCCACATGAGATAAGGACAATAATTCCACACCTCAAAAGCTATCTACAAATTAGTAGTACTCAAGTAGAGCTCTTGCTCTCCTTTCCCTCTTGCAGGCTAGCTGGCAGGGAAGACAAGGCACATGATTGTAAGAACAGAAGATAAAAGTCACCTTTCCCTGAAGAGTGGTCGTGGATGGCATACTAAAGCCTGCTTTTACAACAGTCCTCCAAAGCAGGGTGAAATTTCATAGGTATGAAATGAAAAAGTGCAGGTATTCCCAGATTGCTAGTGTTCCTACACAGAATGAGAGAACCTTAAAAAAAAGGTCTTAACAACAAATAGAAATTCTAAAGACCAAGAAACCTTCCTCTCCCATGATTTTTTTTAATGGTAACAATAATTTTCTTAGAATCCTGCTGTGGTTAGTTTTCTATAAATGACATTTCTTTGAAACACAGAGATTAGCACCAGGTGCAAGGCAGTATGAGTAGTCTGAGGGTATGGAGCCAGATATGCAAAACAAGCCCAATAAGCCCAGATTTGATAATCTTTTGCACAGCAGTACAGGCAAAAGTCTCTTGCAGTGTTCACCTAATGAATCCACTGTAATAGCATTGAGTCATTTAAAATATATTAGGGATGGAAATCCAATCAAGAGAGGAATCCTAAGAACTGTTTATCTGCATCACTACTGCAGATGCTGAAGGCAGAAGAATTAATAGGATCACCTTGACCATGAACTCACAAAACTGAACATTTTCTTGCCTATATCAGAATTTGAATATCACACTTATTTTTACAAAATGTTCACGGATAGGAGGATGACATACAGGTAGTTTTATTTGGGTACTTATTTTATGACATCTTTAGTGTCATAAAATCAACAGAAACACTAATCACACAAGGCCTCAACTAGTATTTATGGGAATATATATTTTGAACACATGCAAAAATCACAGGAATGTGCTTTAGGCCATCTACATGATAAACAAATGGCAATACTGCCCATGATAACACACTATGAGCTATTTTTTCCAGCTATCCAGACCAAAAAAAGTGGCATATCTATCCAAAGAAAAACAAAGTTACCATATTTTGGTTAGATATAGTTAGAATAATCAAACCAGAACGTTTATTCTGTTGTATAAATAGATGACTTTCCATCTTGTTGGGGTATGCAGGGGTATGAGAAGTATCTGAAGAGCAGCATTCTTGACATTTCCAAAATACCACTAAGGTGCAGAGGCTCAAAGCACAGGCTGACAGTTCTGAGCTGGCCAGCAGTGCTCCCTTTCTGCAGAAATAACTCTGGAGCAGAGCTGTCTGGAACTGCAGCCAGAGAGTGCTGCTCACTTCCACTCCTGTTTTCCACCCCAATGTATTGTCCCTATACATTATCCACCAAAACAGGCTTTATCACTGAGGCTCCTAAACACAACAGAAATGCAAATTAAACACAGAGCATGCTCCCAGCAGCTGCTCCAGCCATAGTCCAGACATGACCAGTTTAATCCCATAAAGGCACCAGTTCCCCCTGTGACTGAGAATGGATGCAGAGGAATCATGCTTAGAAAGATGCTCTGGTGACAGAGATTTATTTTTTAGACTGCCATCAGTAGATTTACTCTCTCCAGAGAAGAAATCCAGCTTGTTTCCACTGTTAAACTAACATAACTAATTTAACAACTGCAGCAGAGGATGATCAGTCCACGGGCCCATCTCATGAAAAATCACAGGAACTACATTGGGTCAATGGAGTGCGAATGTTGGTATGCAGGATATTAAAATCCACAGGCCAGCCTAGGACTGAAAAATTCACATTACTCTAAGCCACAGAGATATATTTAGTGAGACTAAGAAAGGGAAGAGGAACATACGTCCCTTTAATGTAATGTCACAAAGGAATTCAGGAAGTCCCAAGAAGAAATATAAAACAGCTTTAGTCAAATTCAGCTGTCACATTAATTGCAAAGAATTGCAATTACTATGAATTGCGTGACTCTTCTCTTGGGCTGTTCCAGGAAAAAAAATCCCACACTATTTACAATTCTGTTCTTATAAAGAAGAAGCCAGGATTTGACTTGGTATAATCTCACTAGTTGAACACTTTGTAGATTTAAGTGCTATGCAAGCAGTGTCTCTGGCCATGTGAATTGTTTCTACAGACATAGCAGGTATATATATTCAGTCTATAGAAACAAATTGCCATACTGGAGTCAGTTTAATGAATGAACCACTGCAATCAGTCAACATCCCAGTCTGACACAAACCCCCCTTATTCAGTGATATACTGCACTCCTACATGGAGCTCTTTATCTGCATATGACCAAGAGGTTCACAAAAAAAAGAAGTGCACATCTTTTTAGCTTGGGAAATTTAGACACAAAGAAGCAACTTAAGGTGATTAAGAGGCAGATTTTAAACTTTGTTAATATTCTTTCTAAGATAGAATTCCTCCTACTACTCTTATCTATTTCATCTTCTCTGTGAGCAAAATCCTCCTTCCTCCACACATATTTTAGGCGTGGGGCAAGGCACAATTTTCCAAATCAAAATCCACACTGCTGTTACTCAGACAATTAACCAAGGCCTTATTACTCCAGCATAGTTTAAACTAATTTCTCTATATGTTGTAACTCCTGTAGTAGGAATTAGACCTGTTTCTTGTGGAAATTCCTTTATCCTCCAAAGTAGAACATAGGTTTAATTTCTTGGACAGAGCAATGCTAGGACAAAACCAGCCACAGAAAAGCGTACTTTGAATGGTAATGACAAGTCTTTTCCCCAGTGAAGGTAGAGCAGACAATCTGTGAGCTTACTGTAGCAGTTTTTCACCTTCCTCTCCTGGGGAGTTCAAAAAATGCTTAGGCTGGAAAAGGATGGATTTTAAACCGCAAACTAGGATATATCCCAAAATTCAAATCAAGCTGCTACCCTTTCTTTTTGATTATGAAACAGGTTTCCAGTGAAAAAAAAACCACGATCTCCTAAAATCCACATCAGTTTTTCTTCTTATTGATAATAGTTGTTATTCTTCCTCTGTGCTGAACAAAACTAAGTCAAATGCAAGTACAAGAATAGCCAAATATTAATTTAAATACCCTGTGTACACCACAGCCTCAAGAATGTATCATTTTTTAAAAATGCTAGTTGTTTGACACATTAAAAACTTTTCTAGACTGCTTTCTGTACCTTTTTTGTTTCCACAACATCCAGCTCTCAGATCCAGGAACAGCAGCAATTAAACTGGATCATTACCTGGTAATTCTTGCTTTTGCTAGCATGAGGCAGAGAAAGTCTTAAACTACATTTGGTAATGTACCTGAAATGCTCTTTTCTAGAGCTAGGAAGTGCTGCCACACCTGCTGACTCTGGAGATAATGGGCTTTAGCCTGGGCACAGAGGTACTCAGGCCTTGGGCTGGCAAAGGTTGATTTCGCTCTCCAAGGCAACAGCCGTGTTGTTTGCCAACAGAAAGGAAGGTGCTTTCCATGCCAAGTGGTAATGGACAGAACTTGTTTGATCATTACCTCTGCTGCAGAAGCCTGGGAAGGCCCTAAGGATGAAACTTCCATGCCCCAGAAAAGACAGTTAAAGGACAGTTAAAAGAAAAGGAGTCCCCATCCCAGTCTTCCAGCTTTGAACCATAATGACACCTTTCTTCACGAAGTAACCTGTGCTCTGTTGCTGTTTACACTGCCACATTACACAGTGATTAGGCTGAGGTGAGATAGCACAGTCAGACCAGAAGAGCAAACTCCTGTGAGAATAATGCACCTTATGATGGACAAAAACTACTTCAAAGCAGAATTTAAACTGCTCATATTTTAAATTAATGCATGCAACAAAGCTCAGTACTCTGATTTTTCGACTCCTGTAGTATAATGAAGTTTAGGTAGGACTTATAGATTTTCAAATACCAAACTCCTTCAAAAAAAAAAAAAATCAAAAAAAAAATCACTGTTATCAGAAAATGTCTTCAGATTTCCTATAAAACCCCACTATCATTAAGAGTATTAGGGAGGAGTAAAAGTAGGCATTGTTAACACTGAAATATGGAATCATATTTTCAAGCACTAACTTAAGGAATACTGTGCAAGGAAGTATCAGTTGCTGTAAGAGAAATTTTTATTGTATAAAATCAGGAAGTGCTTATACAATTAATTTCCACATGACCTTTTCCGGAAAATTGACACTGACTACCCATATAAATAATGAATCAATACAGAGGATTATTCCAAATTCTTTTTCTTACTCAAAGTTCACAAATATAATGAATTTCCTTGCAGCCTGGCCAGCACACATCCAGCAGGGGAAATGCCTTTAGCACTGCATTGACAGAAAAACTGGCCAAATTTTT